CATGTAGAGACACTTCTCTGTTGTGAAAATAAAATTGTGCTTTAAATTTTGTGTTTGGCCCAATTGCAAATATATGCTTGCTCTGGACTACTCTATTATGCTCTGGTTCTAAGATGATTCTGTGTTGAAATATACTCCGCTCTGTTCTAACTCTGCTTTACACCTACCTCAAGCAGGTGTGAGATGATAAATGGAGTTATAAGTGGACATTTATATATATGCATCTCTACATTCATATTCATATGATCTAATGTCAAAATTGTAGAGTAACCAGTAATTTTCTAACTTTGTTTATTTTAATTATGAACTATAAATTGAACTCTGATTTAAGAAAAAATGATTGGCCTAATGAATTTTATACTCATCCTATTATTTAAAATATTTCATTAAAAGACAAAAGTTCTGTAAGTAGATTAAGTATGATAAGGAGCGGGAAATTTGATTTTATAAAGTATATATGATGTTGAAGTTTAGAATATATTTAAGTCTTGTTGCGACCATTGTATTCTAAACTATTATTATTTAAATAATTTAGAAGAAATATTATGTATGTATATCTGGATGTTCATTTTATACTATTTTGGATGATTAGATGACTCTGGAGAAATGAAATGTTGGTTTAAGAATTAATAAATAAATGAAAAAAGAGGATAAGATAAATTCCTCCTTTAGGTCTTGGAACGTTATAGAGTAATATAAGAGCAACGGTTGGGAAAAATTGAATCAGTACTAGAGCCGTAGGAAATATTTGTAAGTTAGAAAAGAGATGTTAAATAATTTGATGCTAATTTATGTATGAGTAATTGTAAATAATTGAACATGTTATTGAATCTTCTTGTTTTAAATCGTTTAAAGTATTGTTATAAATGGACCCTCAAGACTCTGAAGCGGCTGATGGACAAAGTTACATAGCTACTACAATTCATAGTATTGTCAAAGCAGTAACACCAAATTCAATAATGCAGTTTGTTGGGCTAGTGACGCAATTGATGGGAGAAGCTTACAGTAAGATGTTAGATGTGACGGGAGATGAGATAGATTGTCATTTATAGTTATTCTTGAGATTGACCTCCCCGTTTTCAAGGAGCTATAGATCCACAGGCTGCAGAAGATTGACTGTTGAGATTGGAGAAATCATTTGACAGTATGCAGTGTCCAAAACATAGGAAGATGTCGTTGTCAGCATTTCTTTTAGATGGGAAAACTGAGCACTGGTAGGTAGGACAACGAAGGGAAAATTTTCAAGACAAAGCAAATGCTAAAATTTCTTAGAAAGAATTTGTAGAGACTTTTAGAGATTGGTTTGTACCATCATCTGCGAGACAATAAATGCAAGAATAGTTCTTGAGGCTGGTCCAGGGAAGCAAATATGAAATGCAGTATGAAGCAGAGTTTACATCTCTAGCCAAGTATACTCCTCAGTTAGTCAACAAGCCGGAAGAAAAATGTTGTCATTTTCTAAAAGGATTGACAGACAGTCCGAGGCATCCGATGGTGCCAGTTCATATCTGGGATTTGTCTGAGTTGGTGGAACGAGCCAGATTAATGAAAAATGATCTGATGGCTACTCAGCAAAGATGGGATCTAAGCAGGAAAAGATTTGGAGGGGAGCCCTCCATGAGTGGAGTTAGTGGAAAGAAGCTCAGGTTTGGTTATGGTGGAAGGCCCAGGAAGGAAGGTTCTGAAGTGGATTGCTAATAATGTTCCGTTGTGTGGATATTATGGTCGGAGGCATTCTGGTAAATGTTAATGCTATATTGGTCAGTGTTTCTGTTATGGTCAGTCTGGTCACAAGGTGGCTTAATGCCCCCAGAATATACCATAAGGTAGATCAGAGGCAAGAGGAAGTCAAAGGCAGCCATTAGTAGTAGCCCTATCTAGAGTTGTTGCGAGAGATCGACAATGCGAAGCCAATGCAAATTTAGTGGAAGGCTGTCAAGAGTGCAAAGGGAGTCAACGATAATTGGTAGTGCCCCTCCAATTCAGCCCAAAGTCTATAGTCTGACTAAGCAGAAGGCAAAGGAAGCTCCATATATGGTAACAGGTATGGCATATATTTTTGAGTGATCTTATAGTATTCTTTTTTTTATTCTAATACTAGTCATTCATTTATGTATGAGCATCTTCTTAATGTTTTAAGTTTAGCTCTTATGCTATTATATCCTGAATTATCTGTTATGTTACCAACAAAGGATTTGATAATTGCGAATAAGATTTATCAGTGTGAGCTTGAGATCACTTGTAGGAAGTTAGCGTTAGTACTTATTTTTTTACCCCTAAAAGAATTTAATATTATCATTGGAATGAATTGATGTGAGTAAGGATTGATTTTACCGAATGAAATACTGTGACAATTGAGCAAAATGAGCATCAAAATCCCTCTTGAGATGAGAAGCCCCAAGGTAAGAGTCAACATGAACAACCAAATTCTAAACTTCTTTGTCAATAGAAAGTCTTAACTTCATAATAAAGGTCTCGTACTCGGCGACAATATTGGTTGCAATGAACTTTAACGGGAATTTATATTCTAAGGTGTTTTGCTGAGGGAAGATAACTAGGATCCCAGCCCTATCACTTCCTAAAGCAAGATAGACATGCAATGCCCATTTGACCACATACTCTATAAGCACATGTGATTTGATATCGATCTTCTAGATTTCTCTGTTTTTTGTTGGATAGCCCTTAATGAAAAATGGGTGTAAACACCAATATTGTGGGCTTGAAAATATGATCATAATTTTTACATTGAAAACACCAAGTCCAAGGCTATTTTATCTGCTAGTAGATAGTACCCTTATGTTAGAGAAGATGTAAAATAGTGGATAGGCATTTACCTCTCGTACTACAACTAAGCTTGTTGCATTGAGGACAAATTAAGATATATATATATATATATATATAACATCTCAACTTGGATTAGTTTTGATAGTAGAATGGATTAAGCCAGGTATGCCATGAGTTGTTCAAAGGCAACCTGATAATCATATGTTCATTTAAAGCAGTGCTACAAATACACTTCAATGTCTTAAAAAATGACAAGTATTTGTCTCTAGAGCTGTCTAAAAAAATGAGACATTGCTAATATTTGCTCGTTCAGGCATTATCCCACTTTAATATTCTTGGAGGCATCACATCTCAAAGCACCTTGATCCTCTTAGGAGTCCTACAATGGGTGACAATAAATCCAAAGAGTTTGCTTGAGACGATCCTAAGGGCGCACATGGCTAAGTCCTACATTGGAATGTCAGAGGAGGTGGAAGCAACGCTCAAAGAGATATGTTATGATCTTTCAAGATATTCGCCATAATGTCATCAACATATACTTTGATAGTATGTCCTATGAGATCTTTGAACATCTTATTCTTGAGACTTTGTACATTCCATTGACATTCTTCAACATGAAAGGCATCACTTAATAACAGTATAACTCTTTATCCATTTGGAAAATAGCAGCCTATTCATTCGTAAGGTTCATCTTATTTTGATTATAATCAGAGTAAGCATCTATAAAAATAAGCATTTGACGTCCATATGTGGTGTCATCGAGTTGATCTACACAAGGGAGACAGAAAAATGTATTTTGGGCAAACTCTATTGAGGCCAGTGTAATCAACACATTCTTCAGGCCTTGTTAACCTTCTTAACCAGAACAACATTTGCTAACCAAGAGAACTAGAGTATTCATATGAATTCAACTTCTAAGAGTTTATCAACTTTATGCTCGATCACTTATAGATGATATGGTACAAAATTTCACTTCTTATAAAAGTATGGCTTAAATGTTGAGCCTATTTTGAGGGAATGCATAATTATATCAAAGACAATTTCAATCATATCTCTTGAACTCCAGTCAAACATGTCTTGATTCTTGCGTTAAAAATCAATATAATCTAACTTTTGTTCATCAAAAAGTACAAAAGCAACGTATATTGCCCGTAAAGGATTCTCATATGATAGTGAAATATGAACTAGGTCCCCTCCGTAGGAGAGGCTCTTTGGAATACATCTTCATCCTGGAGGTCAAAATTTTTTATATTAAAGGTTACTAATGGGTGTGATTGGGCTTATTTGAGATAAAATGTTTCTTCTACATATTGATTTCACATGCTACACGGATAAATGTTTTTTCTTAATTCCTACTATAGTAGACGAACCAACATTTTTTTTTTTTTTACTAATCTTCTTTGAAACCTTCATTTCTTGCTCAAATCTTTTATGCTGGCCCTCCATTCTAGTAAATTAATTTGTTCATCATAGATAACATGCCACTCGAGGAGGTTCAAGTTTCAATAAAAGCAACGCATTTAACAATTTTGCTTTAAAGGAAAATTTCTCATCAAAGCAACTAAGGCAAAAGATTGTCAAGTTAGCACAACAAGACATATATACAAGGTTCTGAAAATCGAACCAGATAACGAACCGGAAGAATGAGAGGTTCACGATTCGATGGTTCAACCAGGGTTACCAGATGACATAATAAATTCTAATTTTATTCAAATATAAAATAACAATTCAACAAACAAAAATTCTACATATATAATGACATAAATTTGTGACTAAAAATAAATTTAGTTTGTATATAAACTATTCCTAATTTATGTTAAATTTAATATAAATTATTATAAAAATTTTGACCATTATTAAATAAAATATGTTATATTTAACTTAATTTAATATTTATATTAAATTAAATTATTTAAATAGATTATGAATGGAACTGACCGGTTCTTAAAAGTCGGTTGAACCAACAGTTCAAACTAGTTCTCACTGGTTTGATGCTTGGCTAATTGTTCATGAGGACCGAACTAACCATATTACCGGTTGAACCAGTCGAACCGGCCGATTCGATCCGGTTTTTAAAACCATGCATTTATATAACTATACCTGCATAAAAAAAGCCATAATCACTCGACTGACATATAACTGACAACACTGGAAGCAATCAGCTGAAGTGTTGAACTGACCCACAAGCAAAGGAAAAAATATAAGATATATGGTACCTGCAGAGTCATGTAGTATTTTCCCGGGCAGTTTTGCTTGGAAGTTCACTAAGCACGTAGAACATCATCAGACAAGCCCAAACACAGAGATCATAAATCTATACTGAAATCCTACTCTTTGGTGGCACCCTCCAATTTGCACCTGCGGAATTTCTCTTTCCAACCTTATGCATCTCATTTCTTCTGATCTTACTAGTAAGAAGTCTCCTTTCTATAGGGCTTGCTCTGATTGGAGATGGGATTCTTGGTTGAATTTCTTGAGTAGTAGGAGAAAGATTAACATCTCTAACTCTATCATCATCATCATCACTCTCTTCATCCTCAGATTCAAAATCAGAGGATTCTGAGAACTTATAATCTGCATCGTCTTCCTCCTCCCTCTCTTCCTCCATACCTTCAGCTTCAGCTTCGTGATCTTCATCATCCTCCACTGAAAGAGCAACCCTCCTGGAACTCCGACCCTTCTTCTTTTTCCCACTACTATTCCGATTCTTATGCATAAGGTGAATGTAACGATACCTAATCCCCATCATCGGATGCTTCACTATTAAAAGATCCCTCCTATATGCTTCCCTGAGGACAACCGTCTGTGTCCTCAGCTTGTTTGATATATAAAATATTCCTGGATGATGTGCAATCACTTTCCTGAACCCCGCTGGCAGCCCAAGATGCTGGCCAAGTAAAACCAAGTTCTCCATCTCAGTTTTCTTCCCAATCAACATGTTTAAAACCTCGTGAAGAACCCCAACAATCCACTTCTCCGCAATATCACTCTTTGGTGGAAGGTTTGATCCAGATTCATAAGGAGAAACGTAAGGCAATTTCTGCCACTCATCCAGCCACTTCCTCACCTTCTTTTCGAGTTCAAATCCCCTAGAAAAATGCAGAGGAAAGGCCAAGGAGGCACCTTTCTTGTACCCACCAGTCCGCATAGCATAATCCTCCAATGCAGAAACGGCAAGGTCTTTTCGATAGCATACGAGTTCGATATCCAGGTTATCCCTGCCGGAGGAAGGCGATATTTGGAAGTAATCAGGGAAGTCGGGTAAGAGAGAGCGGACAAAATCGCAGGGGAGGCCGAGGTCCCACTGGAGACGGTCGATTAGAGGAAGTGGAAGTCGGCGATAGGGGGCGAGCATCAGGAGGCGGAGGAGGCGATCGGCGGCATTGTCGCGAGAGGACTCAAAGGCACGGAGCTCCTCGGAGTGGATTAGTATAAGATCGTCAGTGGGACGAATCGAAGGGCGAGGAGGGGAAGAAGAAGAGGAAGAGGAGGACGCAGAGTGATCAGGAGTTTCCTCGATAAATGCGTTGGGGAAGAGACGGATGAAGCGGATGGCGCGGAATGGGAGCCGTAGGTCTTGACGACGCTCGGAGATGGCGTCGAGGGGAACGGAGGAGGCAGTAGCGGAGGATGAAGGGAAAGAATGAATGAGGAAGTCTTTGAGGTAGTGGAAGGGGAGAAGGTGCTTCTCCTTCTCAACGGCATGGTCAAGGCCCCGGTCCCGGACCCAGTGTATGCGGGCGTCGATGAAGGTGCGGGATTGCATTAGTGAGAAACAGCGTTGGAGATGTGGGAGAGAGAGGTGGCGATGGTGGCCGGTAGAAAGCGCCGGCGGGGGCATTGAAGGAAGCCGGAGCTGGTAGGCGGAGAAGGGGCCTAGGTTTTACGCGGGGGTTTATGGTTCATCGACAAGGGGGCGCCATCACTCAGGGGCCAGGGCTGTGCTTAAAGAGCAATCTAGCAATCACAAGTTTTTTTTTTTTTTTGTGTTGTGTTCTTCTTTATAATCTTTTGAATTAAACACATTCATATCTTTTTTTGGATGTTCATTATTTATTTATCTTAGTTTTGTTGGAATAATTTATGTTATTCTATTTATACTTTAAAAAGTATTTTTTAATCAAATTTTTTAAAATATTTTTTCAGAAAGCAACTTTCTAATAATTAAGGATCCATTTGAGAAAGCTGCAAATTTTTGTAAATGTGATTATAAAACTATCGTACGAAAAATAACTTTCTTTATAACATAGAAGAAACATGTAGAAGCAACTACAACTGAAAAGTGTTCAACTTCTTCCTTTCATAGAGGCAGCATCGGAGAGTGTACACCTTCAAAGCAAAACCAAGTTCTCTAATTTGCCCCCATGCTTCAGCGAGGAATTCATATACGGATCAGCTAGCAGTCAGCCAATATCTGAATACACGAGGATCATGATTGATATCATTGCATCACATTGTGTACAGGCTTGTATAAAGTGTGTACAGGCTTGTACAAATGTGTATTAATCTTCTTTTGAAAAATAGTTTTACAATTTGATTTTTGTTTGTAATTTTTAATTGTTCAATCACCATTCATTTTTAATTGATCATACACAGTATGTACAAGTCTAATATATAAAAAAATATATGATTACCATAAGCTTGTACACATTATTACCACAAGGATCATAAATTTAAAAAATGTATAAAGATTGTTGGGAATCATTTGAAAAAAAAATGTGGCTTCCCCAACGAAGAAAACGGTGTCTTGGGTCAAACACTATAGGCTCAACAACGGATGTGTGCTTTTGAAATCACATATGTATATGATCAATATATAGTATTAGAAAAAGCAGTAATAATTAAAGAGACGAAGATGTTGTGAGAATATCATTAATAAAGAAACAAACCACTCATATATCCTAAGGTGACAATATCAGCATATTTCATTGTCATACAATCAAACTGAACAACTAAGAAATCCTTAATGGACATAGCCCAATTGTATCATGTGAACTCATATATATTCAGAGTAATACTAATGAGCCTCTTTGAGGTTATATAGTTATTATTGGGAAAAAAATAAATTGAACAACTAAAAGTTGATTTACACATTATTTATAATAATGATAGTGTGGCTTGATTTTTCAACGTTCTTCATTTCATTTTTAATATCAATTAGATTATATTTTATTGGTATCTCATTTTCTCAGTATATCAAATCACCCATGTTTGGCAAACCGATCATTAGAGCCATTTTGAACATTTAGGTCAATGAAGGCAAACTCTCACACACATCTCATACACAAGACTCAAACTCAAGAACTATTGATTAATAGCCAAAGCTCCCAATCAACAGACCAAAATGAGCTAAGTAACTTTTTAAAATGTGATAATCATTCAACCCAACTATCTATATCATGGATGATCAATCTCTAATAATGTTAAGGTTAGAATAATCAGTTGTAGATGAAGTTAATGTGTTTGTAAGAAAAAATAGGTCAGTTTAATTTGACCAAATTAAAAGTAAGAGATTTTTTTCCTCTATTTTGAAATAAGTACCATATATATATAATTTATATTGCATTCATTTTAAGAAAAATTTAAAAACTTTATATCCTATATTGATTTTTTTTTTTTTTTTTTCCAAACATCATAACACAAATTTTTCTTCAATTCTAACTATGATGACGTTGTAGGCTCCACAATAATAATCTACCAAGCTAGCTATGTGCATGTTAATTTATTGCTTTTTGATTTTGCATATGAGCAACATGTAAAATAAATTAGAATACTTATATTTCTTATGGTGGCTCGTGTGTTTTGATGTATTTTCTGAATAAACTTTTTTTTTTTTCAATTTAGTTAATTGAACCAAAACTCTCATCACACTCTTTTTTTTTTTGTTTTTTTTTGGTAATTTTAAATAAATTTGATCACACTTTCGTATAAATCATATGCATGAGACATCAATTTTAAAAACTATTGATTGGAAGCCTAATGTCACGAGGAAAACTTTCCTTCAGTCACTCGTGGAGTCTTAGGACTTCTGGCTTGTGTTGAGCCTGTCTTAAATTCTCACAATACTCGACTAGACAGTAAATAATGTTGGAGAGAGTAAATGGGAAAAAGCTTTGAAGGAAATTCTTACAATAGAAGAATTGGATGATGTGAGGAGATTGTTACAAATGAAAGGGATGGTTTTATTTATAGCCCTCTTATGCCTATGAATATTCTAGAATTCCCTCCAAAATATGTGTAGAGTTCTTTAAAATACTCCACCCCATTACCTATGTATATTACACTATTATGAAGTGTTCTATAATATCCTAGAATACTCTCCAAGTATCCACATCATTCAAAAATATTCTAGAATCTTCTAAAAAACTCCAGGTCTTTCTAGAACATTCCAAAACCTTCCAAAATCTTCTAGAGTCATCTAAAATCTTTTAGAACCTTCTAAAATATTATAGTACCTTCTAGAGTCTTTCAAAACCTTCAAATGTCAAGTGACCCCATCTCAGAATAATTCTCAAGGGCTATTTGACCTCTACGAAATATATCACGCCTAAGAGGTTTAATCAAACCTCTAATCCCAAGTTTTGTTAAGACAGTAAGCTCTCAACTTAGAGCTTTATTTGAAACGACTTTTTGACTATTTATTGATAAAATTTTAATTAATAAAAAACATAAAGTACGTTTAAAAAATAACTTTTTACTGTTTTTTGTTATCAATTTAATTTACAAGAGTACCCATCAGATATAAAATGACCATAATAGCATTTGAATTGAAACGATTGACATTTTTCTATCTTTTGTTATCAAATTTTCAAAGCAAATAAAATCTTTTTCTTTTTACATCTATTATATTTTTCCTAAAAAATATGTAACATATTTTTTAGAATGATTCAAGAGGAAGACACCAATATATTTATCCAACATTAAGGCCTACCATTTAAAGACCACTTTTACTATCACAAAAGCAAATGCAGAAACTATGAAAATATCCCACATTTCTTATATGCACCTTTTAATCAACCAAAAACTTACAACAAGGAAAATATCTAAGGCTTCGTTTGAGACAGCTTTTTTATTGTTTTTTAAAACAGTTTTTAAGTATAAAAATTTTAGCTTTTGTACTAAAAAATTATTTTAGGAAACAGTATGAAAGCCGTCCCAAACGAAGATAAAGACGAATCTCACAGGCTTCCCTATAGTATGATTCCTACAAGTCTGGAAGTTGTTAATCTAGGAAGGAAGATAAGGATTTCCCAGTCTGGAATCAGTTTCCTCATCTGTTTAGTTGGAGGTGAAGTTCATGGAATGGATTCAATGTGGCTCATTCAATTATCATTATCTTCCTCTTCACATTCACCTACTGATTCACCTACTGATTCACCGAGCTCATCCCGGTCTGGATCTTCTAGTTGATCAGCTTCGTTGTCTCCATTGCTATACAACTGAGAACTCACCACCTGGCCGTATAGGTTCTTATGCTTCAAGTTACCTGCCGCATTACCAATACACATTATGCTTTGGTGGAAATTTAAGACCTTTAATTCGTGTGGTGAAAGTGAAAGTTACCCATCCAAAATGTGCAACCGCTTGATGAGTTATTATGAAGAAGAGCTTTGACATGGAATAAGAACTTCTCCATGGACCTCTTAGTGGCCGGAACCTTGCTGGTAACCATCGTACGTTTTGATCCCTAATCAATGACAAAATATAACAAAAGGCGCAAAAACATCAGGAAAATTAATGTTTTGTTTGGGATGGCTTTTTTATTGTTTCTTAAAGCAGCTTTCTTATGTAAAAATTAAAATTTTGTACTAGAAAGCTGCTTTAAGCAATAAAAAAACCGTCCCAAATGAAGTCTAAGACTTCATTTGGGATGATTTTTTTGCTGCTTCTTAAAGCAGCTTTTTAGTATAAATATTTTAATTTTTATACTTGAAAGCTGTTTTAAAAAACAACAAAAAAATCGTCCCAAACGACGCCTAAGTTTCGGGGCAATAATAGGGAAGAGTGGAACACACCTTCGCCTCAGAGCACAGAGCCTGGATAACTCTTGTTGCCTTCTGAAATTCTTTGAACTAGACAATAATGACCGCCGATTAGGGGATGGCAAACTTTTCTTGAGAGTTGCAGGATGAATGAGGAAATTATGCGCCTTACCATTTGAATTATCAATTCATTGTGTGACTGAAACTGGGCTTGCAGGAAATCAAAAGCTGACATGAATTGTATTTATCAGAAACATGGAAAATGTTTACCAAAAATTGGTGACTTCGATATTTGAGGTTTTACCTTTCAGGAAAAGGTCAACATACTTGCCTCCATATTTGACTGCCATGGCATGCATTGCTACCTGTAAACATTAAAGAAATTGTTTGGGATGATTTGCTCCGTTAATATTTTTTTCCTCAAGATATTAGACACCTTATCATGAACTCAAAAATGCTACCTTGTCATGAACCTTGCACAGGTTAACTAAAGAAACAACCACATGAACTGATTGTTGGATCTTTACCAAAATTTTACCAGCAACCTCCATTTGAGTAGTTGCTCCATGCTTGAGCTTTACTTCCTTGACCTGTTCATTAACAATTATAATCTTAGGAGATTTATCTTACTAGAATGCCTAGGATGCACATAATTGTTAGTTCCATCACCCACCAGCTTGCTTAAAACATTGATGTTCTCTTCGTGCTGCAAACAAAATTAGTCTATAAGTAGATCTGAGGCCGAAAATAGTTAAGCTAAATTAAGGACGCTTAAGAGATATATATAAGAAATGCTTACCAATACCCTATACCATGTAAGAAACATGGGTGGGCACAATGTGGGAAATCCATGTGTAGCATCTTGTGTATTGCTTGTTTTACACGAAGGAACCTGAGATTGATATCTCAAAAACATAACTATTTCTAACTAGCAAAAGTAATCCATAGCAATCATTCAAACATTGCACAAATGTCTTATTTGAAGTCCCAGTCTGTCGAAGAACATGGCCAGAACTTTTCAAATACAAATTTAACCTTGGAACAATGCTAACTATCTTTTGACCTCCGCAGCATAAAGATATTATGTATACTATCACTTCATCAGCTTAATGCAATCAATTCAAGCTTAAAAAAAGAGACTAATTCTGAAAGGAGTTATCTTGGTATCTTAATTCAAGTAAATGTTAAGTTTGGTGATAATGCTCGCCAAATTCTTCTGTAGTATCCACATGGAATGGTTTCATTGGATACAGGAGGGAAATACTGACATGGTGACCTATTCAGCTGGATTTTTCATTCCATCTGGAATTTCCCTAACTCAAAATGCTAAGAAAAAAATAATTGAAGAAATATAGACAAGCCATTGGTGCCATGATGAGATAATTATGCATGTACCTGTGGCAATATTGAGCATGCAAGCTCATTTAGCAAGTCAGAAGAAGACTCGGTATTTGTCAGATATATCTGCAATATCTTTTGTATTACTTCCCCCTGATATTACAAGAAATTTTTTTTGTTAAAATCGATTAAAAAAATAAGTATATTGCTATGTCTAACATGGTTAGGTAATTTACCAGTCTTACATTTCTCTTCCATTCAGTCTCACCATCCTGACTACTACAATCATATAGTAATAGCTTGTGGGCAGAAGTGGAGAGCTTATTTCTTAGAGTATCAAGAATATTCTGGGAACATCCCATATGGACGTTCTTCCCCCTTTTTTCCTGAAACTTGATCAAAGCCGCCTTTGAATTAACCAGTGACTGCAGAGTAAAAACCACTTCCGATGCTAGCGAAAATGAGGATAACAATGCTGTTGACAATCACACTTTCACAGCTCTGTTGTAACAAATAAGAGAATGGAACCAAACAAATATGTGCAAGTTGCAATAATCTTACATTTTTCTAGAATGCCCTCAAGAAAAGAGAACACACCGCAATACATGTAATCTATGCTTCCAGGCGTTGGAAGTTGTTGAAGCCCTGAAAAGAAATTGCACGGTACTTCAGTTGACTGGAAAGCTTCAAGCAAGTCCTTGAGAATTCCTAAATTCTCCTGATGGTATAATCCGTCAAGGGATAAAATCTGCTGTCACAAAACAGATGGGGATAAGATAAATACACAGATGACATAGAAGTTGAGAAAAGGTTTAATTATTCTGAATAATAGAATCCCAAATAATCATACACTCAAATCACTTTGATATCACAGCCGCATTGAAATGTGAAGTGGAATATTATTTTCATTTGAATTTCTATTTATTTCAAGAAATATAAGTTCCTTTAGTTGATAAAAAAGTCCATACACATCAATGTTAGACAATAAAAAAGGTGCAGCAGTTCACGAGTCTCCCGCCAATGCAAAATCTCGAGACGTTCACGTATGTAACCCTTACCTTTAATATACAAAGAGGTTTGTGATTTGAACAAAGTGACCTCAGTATATCAATTTTAAAAAAGAGGTAATAAGCTTATTTCCAAGTGCATCAACACATACTTCGTTAAAATGAATTAATCTATAAAATACCTATGTATTAGAAGTAATATCTTAAGAGATATGAATCTGATAATCACTATAAGAAACTGAATATAAACGTAAGATGCATGTCATCTGTAATATGAACAGTGAAGTGATTTTAATTTAATGTAGATTTATTTGGGAAGCGATCTATTTTTCTACTCATAAATAGAGGACTTGATGAATGGTGCATCTAACAAATACCCTGCTGTAACAGCGAAGTACTTCTCTAAATACAGAACTGGCAATAGAGGTTTCTGACACAATCAGATTTGAAAAATCTGGGTTTCCAGCAGAGCATGATTGAGATTTCCAATGATCGTGGCAATCTTCGGATCCTACAAAAGAAAAAAGTCATAAAATTATAAATGTTAGGAAGCAACGAAAAGGGTCTTGGATAGTAGATATACCATCTCCAAGAATAGAAACTGCACTACACAGATGCTTTCTTAAACTACCAAAGACTGGCTTTATCTTGCAAAGAAATTCACAACTTGTCATCTTGCAGATGCCTGGCAATGCCTTATCTGGATATGCAGTAGAACATTGTTTGCTCGATGAAGGAGAACTAAAATCATTCAGCTTGCGGTGAAAATCTCGCAGTAGGTACAAATAGAGAGGAAGCTAGAAAGAAAATTTAAGAAATAAAACGGGTAATAATCAGTCCAGTGAATTTTCATTTTACATTGCATGGGTAAAATGATTGGATTTTCAAATATAGCTAGAATATGGAATTACCTCCGCTGCAGGATCAGCACAACAAGCATCTCTGCACTGCAGCAATGGAAATAATTTGAGGCACAATAAAAAAAAAAACAGTAAAGCAAAGCATGACCCAATATTGCGCATAATATCAAAAAACAAAAAAGCAGCATACCAAAGACACCTAAATGGGCAACAAACAAACAAATAAAAAACCTCAACTCAACCAAAAGGAGAAATTTTATTCTTTTAGGAATTTAATAAGCAAAAAATCTACAGAAAAGTTTATAGTTTTTATTATACATTAATGTTTTCGTATAATAAGCATTAACCAAAAAAGTCGCTTCAGGAAAACTTGACCATTCCCTGACTACTGAAAAAATTCAACGATGCCAACCTGATATGGGGATTGGGGTAATATGCTATGATTGCATGACATGATAACCACCTTCCATTTCACGGAACAAAACCAGGAAACTGGGAACTTGAACGATTCAATTTGCTGAATCATGCAGGTTGACAATAAGCATATAAAATTGAGAGATAATTTTATCCTTCAACTGATGTCTTGAAGTTTCAACCATACTTTATATAGATTTGGGCTAATTGAACTCGAATAAAACCATCTTCAGTGTTGTTAGGTTTCTCTTATTAAGATGTTAGGTTTGACTAAACTGAATCATCACTGGGTACCTTTCTCTTTTAAGTGGATCCGAGTAAAAGTATACAATTATCTTATACCATCTTCATTTGGGTATAGCCAATAAATTTCATTTTCATGTAGTAGTTCGAAATGAGACTTGTATACATAAAACTATTAATCCTAACCAAAAAAGCTAAAATACAAATTTGTCGTAGTTTTTCTAATTGTACTTTCTTTCAATTGTTAACATTTTCGGTACTCTAGGGTTAGTGATCATGTTGAGTTATATTTCTTCTAGAAACCTACTTGCACACAATTTGTTACCTATCCGAGTATAATTGGTAGGGCATGGAGTGGGCATTAGTAAAGGTCGCATAAGATAAATGGGTATATAGAATTAAATATGATTCAAACACTATATTGATAGATGTAGCAAAGGGTAGGTATGTGGGCTCCAAAAATTCGGGCCCCGGCCTCTTTATGTCTTCTACATTAACGGAGAGAGTTTTAACAAATTTAGGTTCCGGGGTAAATTTTTAAAAGACAGATTAAGTTTTAGATAAGACACTACCCAAAGATTTTGTCATCATTGTGTGCAAACTTTATGATCTGAGTTATGGTTTCTACTAGGTGCAAGCTCCCATGGCTAATTACCCCGCCCGATAACGAGAGAGAACTTACGAAGGCTAATCATTAAAAAGATCGCAATAATTTCCTATCGTATGATAGTAACAATTTTAGGATTAGAATTTCGGAGACTTTAACATATTTAGTTATATATAGAAGTGATCTATAATGTATGTTATATTTGGAACAAAATCGCATAATATCC